AACCCATTTCTTATGTCCCCCAAGTAACCCCCACCCACACATGGAGCCCTGTAAGTGGTTCAGATGTCATGGCTTTCCACTGCATCACTGTGGAGGTCAGAAGTCTGAAATTGATCTTACCAGGCTAAAATCAAGGTGTCGGCAGGGCTGCGGTCCTTCTAGAAGCTCCGGTAGAGAATGTATTTCCTTGCCCTTTCCAGCTTCCAGACGCTGCCTACAATATGTGACTCATGGCCCTTTCCTCCATCATGAAAGCCGCAATGGCATCACTGACCTCTGTTTCCGGTGTCACATCTCCTTCTCTGACTCTCCTGCCTCCTTACAAGAACCCTTGTGATGACACTGGTCTCATGCAGATAATCCAGGATAATGTCCCCATCTCCAGATACTTAACCCAATCTGCAAAAGTTCCTTTTGCCAGGTAAGGTCGCATAGTCACAGGTTCCAGGAGATCAGGACATGGACATCTTTAGGGGGGCTATTATTCTGCCCACCGCAGCAGGACCAGCATACACTTTCTGAAAAGGGCCCGATTGTAAATATTTTTGTTTGTGGGCCATCTAGTCTCTGTCACCAAGATTAACTATGTAATTTTCAGAGCCCAGGGAAAGATAAAAATGTGGGGCCTCTCATTTACAGATTACTAAGCATTTCACGATGGTGACAGAAGAATAGGGTCCTGTGTGATGACACAGTTTCCACAGCCATGAAGCAGGCTCTGCCTGAGCACATCTCCCTCTGATGGTGTCACTTGAAAGCAGCCATGGGCAACATACATACAACTGGTGTGGCTGTGTTATGGTCAAACTTTATGGACACTGAAATTGCACTTCATGTCATTTTCTCATGTCACAAAACCTCTTCTTTTGGCTTTTTTCAACCATTTAAAACTGTAAAACCTATGTGTAGCTCACAGGCTGTGCAAAAATAGGCCTGGGCCAAGTTGGGCTGCAGTCCGCCGGCTTCTGGGTAGGGGATAAATCCCAACTTCTCTACCTGACTCTCTAGGACCTTTTAGAGCTGGAGATAGACATCTCTCCAGACCCATCTCACCATCTGCTTCCCTCACAACCAGCATTCAGCCTTCCCACTCCTGCAGTGCTCTGCTCAGACACTACCCTCCATGAGTGGTGGCGCTCTATGCCCATCCCTTGTCACCCTGCCTGGATTTATATGTTTCTATGTCCTTCTCTCCTCTGGGGCTGCAATGTCCTCAAAAGCAGGGACCTAAACTGAGTCATCTTTGTGTCCTCTGCCTCATAGACCCTCAGAGCTCGTGACAAGGGGATAGCAAGAACCTAGAACTTCGGTGGCTGGAGTATACTCTGATTGTGACCCCTAAGAACCAAAGCTGTGCTTTAAAAAAAAAAAAATCTGAAAACAAGAACTTCCCATCTCAAATTCAGAACAGGGAAATAAAGCCCTCTGTGACCAACCAAATGGGGTTCAAATCTCAGCTCTGTCCTTACTAGACATGTGCACTTAGACAAGTCGCCTCCCTTGCTGTTAGGACCAGGTCTCAACTCACCATGGCCAGCCAGGCCCTATGTGACCTGCCCCTTCCAATTCCATGTCTCCACCACCAGCCTTTTCTCAGTTCCTAAGTGTGCCAGGCTCCTCCCTGCCTCAGGGCCTTTGCACTTGCTGTCCTTGCTGCCTTAAACATTCTGCCCCTCTTTGCCTGGTGACTTACCCTTCCTGCCTCAGCCACAACACCACTGACTTGGGGAGACTTCCTTGGCAACCCCAAAATGAGGGCAGGTCCTCTGGCACTCCGAACCTCTGCAGATTGTAATTATTTGTGTGATTTCTTATGACTATTAATACAACTTAATAAGCACTTGATGCCAGGTTCTGTTTCAAAGATTCTAAAACTGGGTAATTTCATTTAATTCTTACAATGCCCTCATGAAGTATTGCAATCACCCCCATTTCACAAAAGGGGAGGCAGAAGCTCCAAGAGATTAAATAACTTGCCCAAGGTGGCACTTGCCCAAGCCAGTCAGTGTTGGAGCTGTCCCCTGAAGCTTGTTCCCACAAGTAGACTGTGACTTCCGTGAGGGAAGATGCCACATTTGGCATGGTCAGTGTTGTATCCCCTGGGCTGAGTGCCTGTACTGGTGCATTGCGGGCAATTAAAAACGATTAAACCTAAAAGAAACAATACCCCAGTAGCAACGAGAACTCTCAGTGCCCAGATCTTGTTTTCTAACACCATTCTCTAATAAAAGAAACCAGGCCTGGAGAAATGGCTGATTCTAGGACTGGGACAGGAAATATACAAGATGAGCCTGGAGCACCTTTTAGTGCCACAGAGTAAGGAAGAGCACCAAAGAAAACAAAATGAAAAAAGCCGAAACTTAAAACCCATGTAATTTTACTAGCCATTGTCACCCCAATAAATTTAATTTTAAAAAAAGGCAAAAAGAAAAAAATTGAACTTGAATAACTTACAGAACAAGAAAAAAGAAAAAAAACAAAACAAAACGCATCGATGGGAGTGTGTCAAAGAGCTACAGGAGCCAAATGGAAGAGATCCTAATGGCTAAAGTTGGAACAATTTAAGTAACAAAGTAAAGTAGTAGTAGATTAAAACCCAGAGTATAAAATACCCAGGAGACTATACAGATTCAATGAAATGACTGAATAAGCTAATCAATGGGGGAGAAGAGAGAAATCTCCCATGCAGGAGAATTCCAAATAATTTATGTAGATATCCACCCTTAGGGAGGAGGAAGACTCTCCACTCTTTAAGTGTGGGTTGCACATAGTGACTTCCTCCCGAAGTCTACAGTAAGGAATGGGGGGTGGGCAGTTATGGTGGAGGTACTACCTCAGTTACTACCTCAGCCAGGTGATCAAGGCCAACATCAAAAGTCATAGATAGGGCTGGCCGAGTGGCGCGATGGTTAAGAACTGGCTTGGGATGCCAGAGGGCCCCGGTTCGGATCCCACATATGAGGGCCAGTGACACTGCCCTCTACAGCTAAGATGCTGAACAACAGCTCAACCTGGAGCTGGGCAGCCGTGGCAACGGCATAGGCTGCAGCCCCTGCGGCAGTGGGTTGCCATGGGCTACCGTGTGTAGCCAGCAGCCAGCGTGAGCGGCCAGCAGCCAGCGCGGGCGGCCGTCCAGAAGCCGGCGACTGACCTGCCTCGCCTGGGAAGAGCGCAATGATGGTGCCAACTTGGGCCAGTGAAGCAACATCCTCCACACTAGACTGAAGAACAAAAAGACAGCAACTTGTCTGTTCCCCTTCCCCCAATTCCCCAGCTCTGTTCCCATCCCCCCAATTCCCCAATAAAAATCTTTAAAAAAAAAAGTCATAGATAAAGTTGACTGCTTGTGTCCTTGATATGATGTGATGAGAAGGCGCTTTACCTCTTTAGTCTTCCTCCCCCAAACCCAGCATCCCAGTCTTATCATGAGGAAAATATCAGACAAATTCCAATAGAGGGGCATCGTACAAAATATCTGACCAGTTCTCAAAACCACTAAGGTCATCAAAAACAAGGAGTCTGAGAACCTGCCACAGCCAAGAGGAGCCTACAGGACAAATAAGAGAATAGAACTTAAAAGATCTCATCACAAGAACAAAAAATTTGTAACTAGGTGTGGTGATGGATGTTAACTAAATTTATTGTGGTGGTTATTTTGCAGTATATACATATATCAAATAATTATGTTGTACACCTAATGTTATATGTCAATTATATTTCAAAGAAAGAGAGAGACAGAGAGAGAGAGAGAGAGAGAGAGAGAGAGAGAGAGCGCGAGAAGACAACTAAATGTAATGTGGCATCCTGGATGGGATTCTAGAAGAGAAAAAGGACATTAGGTAAAAACAAAAGAAATTAAACTATGAACTTTGATTGATAATAATGTATCAATATTGGTCCATTAATTATAACAAATGTATCATACTAATGAAAGATGTAACTAATAGGAGAAACTGGGTGTATGGAAATGGTAACTGTAGCGCTGGCTTGGGAAACCTGCTCTGAGCAGCAGGGCCCCAGTTCCCACATGAGGGCCAGTGACACTGCCCTCTACAGCTAAGATGGTGAACAACAGCTCGACCTGGAGCTGGGCTGCCGTGAGTCACCAGCGACAGCATAGGCTGCAGCCCCTGCTGCAGTGGGCTGCCATAAGCTACCATGTGGGGCCAGCAGCCAGCGTGAGTGGCCGGCAGCCGGTGTGAGCTGCCAAGAGCTGCCATGAGCGGCGTCCAGAGGCCAGCGACCGATCTGCCTCACCCGGGAAGAGCGCAATGATGATACCAACATGAGCCAGTGAAGCAATGTCCTCCACAACTAGACTGAAGAATAAAAGGACAGCAACTTGTCTGTTCCCCTTCCCCCGATTCCCCAGCGCTGTTCCCCTCCCCCAATTCCCCAATAAAATCTTTAAAATAAAGAAAAAAGAAAATGGTAACTGTATCTTCTTTGCAATATTTACATAAATCTAAAACCGCTCTAAAAAAGTCTATTAATGGTAATAACAACATGTAGATGAATGAATGAAGGACTCCATTCTTCATAGTGACAATGATTACTGCTCCCTTCTCACAGAGATATTTCAAGAATTACAGGCGAGAACCTGTATAAAGCATTCAGCACATGGTACGTGCTCAACTCAGAACACTTGCCACCATTCTAAATCTGCTGTGAACTATTTAAATTTAAATTAAGTAAAAATTAAATATATTAAAAATTAAGTTTGTCAGTGGCAACAACCACATGTCAAGTGTTCAAAAGCTACATGGAGCTAGTGGCTACTAGATTAGTGCTGATAAAATACATGCCCATCATTGCAGAAAGTTCTGCACTAAACAATGAATGCTGCACTAAACAATGAATGGTATAATTATTTGTACAATGTTCTTGACTCCTTCCCATCCTTCTGCAAGTGCCATCTTCTCAACCTTCCCAACTACTGTCTTTCAAACTGCAACAACCCTCACATTCCCCATGCCCTTTCCCCAATTTACTTTTCTTACCACTTTTACCACTTGATTTCTTTTCTTTCTCCCCAACTAGCACTGCACTGTTTAATCACTGTAGTCACTGGTAACGTGTGGCTATTGAGCCCTTGAAATGTAGTCGGTCCAACTTTAGATGTGCTGTGAGTATAAAAGACGTACCAGATGTCAAAGATGTGTGAAGAAAAAATAAAGAATGTAAAAGAGCTCATAACATTATATTGATTACACGTTAAAATAACATTTTGGACATGAATTGGGTTAAATAAAATACAAGGTGTGATTAAAAAAAAATACTATGAATGCTGCTGCTGAGTGCCATCCAACGGAAAGGCAGGGATTTTCAATACCGGAAGGGCATGTGGAATAGTGTACAACAAATTTCAACTTGTTCAGTGCAGTCAGTCGGACGTGAGCTACGGTTGAGAGAAGGTGTGTTTTAAAGCGTGCCATAAATCATCCTCCATCACGACAATGCTCCATGTCACACATCGCTTCTAGTATATGGCAATTTCTGTTAAATAAAAATATTATGGTGTGTCCTCATCCGTGAAATGTAAACATTTTGAATCAATTCAGGACAGCGAGGGAGCCATGACAGCTCAACTAACGACACTCACAAAAGAGGACTTCCAGAACTGCTTCAGAAAGTGGCAAGAATAATGGGATAAGTCTGTTCGAAGTAAGGCGGAGTATTTTGAGGGGGATTAATGGCAATGTGTCTTTTACTGTAATAAATTTTTAAAAATTTAAACATTCACCGTATTTTTATTTTATCACACCTCATCATACATTATTAAAATTAACGTCACCTGTTTCTTTTTACTTTTTTCTTTAACATGGTGACTAGAAAATTTAAATCATGCATGTGGCCAACATTTATGGCTCGCTTATATTTCTACTGGGCAGCACTGGTCTAGAATGTGAGCCCAATGAGGGCAAGTATTTTTGTTTACTGCCCATATAGTAAGTAACTGGCACATTCAGTAACATTGTAATGAATGAATGTTAGGCTGAGCCTGTGGAAACCCGCTAGCTCTAACAGTTAACACTGTTGGAACGCTGACCACGTCCCATGCTACTCCTCTTCAGCACACCAGATAAGGAAACTGAGGCCCAGTGAAGTGACGTCAGCCCCCTGTCAAATCGCACGTAGTGCGAAAACGTCGGGACCGAGATTCGAACCCGGGTCCTGTCCCCATAGCCCTGGCGCGCTGACCGTTCCTACCTTGTAGGGCGGTGACTGCGGCTGTGGCAGGACAAACAGGCGCGGGCACACAACATGTGCTTGATAAGGTGCGTGGCTCTTCGACCATCTCCTTCAGTCGGACTCCGTAAGCCCGAACCCAGCGGGACCCTTCCGTGGCCATCGCCGGCCACCCGCGACTCCGCCGGCCATCGAGCCCTTCGTAGGCGGTGCCGGACGGAAGTCCCACCTCCACCGCGCGCCTTGGGTCGCCGCGACAGCCACGCCGGCCAATAATAAGCGCGCCGTGGCGGACGCCGGCCAATGGGCTTGCGCGCCGGGGGGGCGTGTCCGGGCCGCGGGCCGGAGCGGATCGTGCGCGCTGAGGAGGAGCCGCCGCCGCCGCCGTCGCCGTAGCCGCCACCACCGCTACCGCTACCGAGGCTGAGCGGATCCGTTAGCGCCGCGCCGCCGCCGCCGCCCGCCCGCCTCGGAGCAGCCCCGGGCACGCCCGCCCGCATCCAGGTGAGGCGGGGACCTTCGGCTGCGCGGGACTGGGTAGGCCGCCGCAGGCCTGAGCTTGCCTGGCCGGGCCGCGGGCGTCCGCGGGCCTGCACCGGCCGAGGCCCAGGCCGCGCAGGGCCGGGAGGGGACGCGCGCGGGTCGCGCCAGGCGGATGGGGGCTGGCCGGTGTGGACGCCAGCGACAGGCCCCGGGCCGGATTCTTCGGCTGCCGCGAGGAGACACGGCGTGGGCACGCGCCTGCCGTCCGGGCTCCACGGTCGAGGCCCGGGTAGTCTTGGAAGCCGGGCATCCGGGGGCGGGAGAGCGAATCCAGAGGTGAGGGAGTAGGGTGAGCGCTTTCAGCGTGCAGAGGTCACGGCCCACGGGCTTGCTCCCCTGGGAAATCCCATAGATTCTTTTGTGGTCGTTGTCAGAGGACCACGGCCCATCTGAGGTCCTTTGAGAAGTGTGCAAATCTTTCAGTATGTATAGGAGTCCTAGAAAAAATATTTTTTGAACGCCATGTCTAACAAAGCTGTTTTTGAGGCGGGGACATTTGGATTTGTAAAATGTGTGTGTATGTGTTGAAAAGACAAACTACAGGTAATTGAACAATGGGGGATGGATGCTCTTCCTTTTCCGGAGTCCTCTGCTTCTAGGCTTATTAAAATGAGTTCTAAAGCCTACTGTGTGCACAGCAGGTGGGGAAGAACTGCTTGTGCCCCCGCTGGTGGGATAGAGCCCCCCTTACCGAAAGTATTCAAATGGGATCCGAATGGCCAGTGCTCCAAAAGTGGGAAGATGGGGAGGATAAACAGTCTAGAAAGGGTTTCTTAACCTTGACACTACTAACATTTTAGGTCTGATCATTCTTGGTTTTGGAGGGCTGTCCTGTGCATTGTGGGATGTTGAGTAGCATCCCTGGCCTCTACCCATTAGATGCCAGCAACATTCCCCCATTCCCCTCACCCCAGTCGTGAAGATTAAAAATGTCTTCATATTGTCAAAAGCACCTCTCTCTCTCTCTCTCCCCCTGTCCCCTCTCCCCTCTCCCCTCTCCCCCCCTCTCTCTCGTGAGAGCCACCACTAAACTAAATGATCTCCCACTAGAAGTTCCTCCAGCCCCATCTCTGATGCCTCAGGACCCAAGGCTCCCAAGACCTCTTGAACAAACTCAGCTGTGGGGACCTTAGTTTTCTTACCTGTAAAATAGTATTGAGAATATTGCTGTGCAGATTTAAGGGTGTGGGAAGCCCCTAGCTTTGTGCATGGCCTGTGAGTGGCAGGCACTGAATAAATGATGTTATAAATCATCACCAGTATTTAGTGAGGATTTATTTTGTGCTTGACACTTCAGACATTTATCTCCAACCCTGGAGGAAGGTGCTGTTACAATGTTCATTTTTACAGACAAAGAAACCAAGGCTTAGATGGATCACTTAATATGACAAGTCTCACACAGCAAAGTAGCAGAGGTAGGATTTGAACTCAGGCCCTCTGACTCAGAGTTCTTATTACTCTTAACCACCATCTTTTATTGTTCTTATAATTGCAAAGGGTCTGGGGAACCCCAAGAGGAATTCCATTTAGTTGTCATTGAACATCTTCTGTGTGCAAAGCCATGTGCTGGAATCTGTTATAAAGCTCTGCAACTTGAAGGTCTACAAAGAGGCCAAGATATATGAACATCTCAAAATGTGGAAATAGATAATGTTTATGTTGAAACACTGGTTTTGAGGGGGCAAAATTTCAGTTTGAATGTTTTAAATCTGAGATCTTGGGGCAGCAAGAGGAGAATTAAGAAAATAGTGTCTTCCCGATGCTTGCTTTATTGCTTCTGTCACTCCCTGCCTCCCATTTCTATTCTTTTTTTACACTCCACCAAGAGTTGTCTTAAATGCAGATCTGATCATGTCACTCCTGATTAAAAGTCTTTGGGCAGAAAAAAGCAAATTAATTTTTAAACCTATTTAGGTGGCTTAAAAGGTAAAGTTTGGGATTCCAGGTCTTTCACATTCTAACCCTTCCTTTCTGATTTCACCTGCACGTAGACCCCAAACTCCAACGCTTATTCGGCCTGTTGCCCCCACTGCCTGGAATGCCCTTCTCCTCCACCTAGAGATCTCTTCCTCTTGCAGTGTGGCCCAGATCATAGCTCATTCACCATTTGAAGCCTCCTTTGACTGCCACTTTCTCCACCCCCACCAGAATCAACTGTTCCCTCGTTTGTGTACCCATCCATTCAATTTATTGAATCAAATTAAATGCTAAATGGTGAGAAAGGTGCAGTTGCAGGCTTCGCCCCTAGGTGACAGTAGTGAAGCAGAGAGGCCGACCTGAGACTTCGGGTCAGGGGAAGATGGGAGGGAACCAGCCTATAGAAGGGAAGTGAGTCTTGATTCCCTTTTTTAACCAACTCTCCCTGCTCCAGTGCTGTGTCCTAGGCACTGGGCCAGGCTCTGGGCAATGGTGATTACATTATGGACGTAGATCGTTGTAGCCTACTCTAGTAAATGTGGTGATGGTTATAACTGGCTGATGTGAAAGCACCAAAAAGGACACTGGTAACCAAGCCTTGGTGGGCAAAGGAGATCACAGAGTGCTTCCCAGAAGAAGTGAAGCATGTGTGCTAGGGAGGAGTTAGCTGAACAAAGACCACAGAGAAGTTCTTTGCAGGATGCAGGAACAGCACTGGCAAAGGCACAGAGGTGGGAACATTTCAGTTTGTTCAGGGAACCACATGGGGTCTGGTACTGGAGGGGTAAGAAAGGTGAAGTGAGTAGTGGCCAAAGGCCTCACTCAGCTGATGTGCAGGGGGCATCGGTGTTGTCCTGTAGTCCACACCAGGGTGGCTATTAAGCAGTTTTAGTCCACAGAGTGAAGGAGTCAGATATGTACACAGGAGGAAGAGTTGGAGGGGACTGTGCTGAAGGTTAGCAAACCAGTTAGGAGGTGAGTCCTTTCCCTTGGATAAGAAAAATCGGGACTATGACCCTGGGCTGCAGTGATAGGGAAAAAGAGGGAATGGGTTTGAGACATAGTTAGGAGCTAAAAGACCAGGACTCAGTGGGTATTTAGATATGGCATGTGAGCAAGAGATGAACGATCCCGGGTCTCTGCCTGAGTGACTGATAAATGAACATTGGTCACTAAGAAAAACAGAAGGTGAGAGAAGGAGCAGTTTAGAATGTGGACATACACAAGAAAGCACATCACTCAAGTAGAATGCGTGTGCATGGGTATATAGACAGTGAAGCGCGAAGGTGACAGAAAGCAGTGTCCATGTCCCTGCATATTGAGGGGACTCACTTATATGATCACCATCCATCTCCACTCGACACAAAGCCTCTATACGTTGGCCAACTCGATGATCACACTTTTATCGCCTGAAAACATGAAACGTAACTGCTTGTCCATTGTCACGGGGAACAGGGAGAAGTGAAAGAAACTGCTTCCTCAGAAACTTACAACCTGAGCTAGGGAGAAAAGACATAGATGCGTCAGATTCAACAAAAGGTTGAAGCAGCAGGTCATGACAGCATTGAGAGAGTGTGGAAAGAAATGGTTGTCTGTTGTTTGGTTTTTGGTTTTGATGAAAGCGCTTATGTCCAAACTGGTCATGGTGATGAGAGAGGCGTGGGCAGGAGTTTCCAGGTGCAGCCAGAACAGCCCAAGTGAATAAGAGAGGAGGGCACAAGGAAGTCCGGAAGCCTGAGTGGACTGGTTTGGGTTGGCAGAGGGTCAGAAGATGAACTAGGAGATAAATCTAGAAAAGTATGCCAGGATAGAAGGTTTGGGGGCACAGCCAAGAGGTGATCTTGGAAGATTGCTTTTCTGGGGAAGAAACAAGGATGGACGAACCAGTCAAGAGGCTTTTGCAGTACTGAGGTGGCCTGGTAATGACCTGAACTTGAGGGTTGGGACAGGGACTGCTTCTTTATCTTATATCCCAGTGCTTGCTCTGCGCCTGGCATATGGTCAGCACTCCATCTATGTGGAGGGAAGGAAGGGTTTTGGAATGGAGTTCAGAAGTGAGTGAACTTAGCCACCTGTCAGAGACATTTATGCCTGAGGAAAGAGTAACAGGAGAGGGAACAGTCCAGAACCCAGTGGCAAGACTGATGTCATCATGAATAGAAGCAGGGAAACAGGAGACAGAAGGAAGAGGAATGATTTGGAGGGAAAAGACCAAGTTGGGTTTGGAGACAGTTTGCTTAGGTACGGAGGATAGAGAGAGGTGACTTAGAAGACATGTGTACATGCCACCAAATGAAGTAATTCATGAAGAGGAGGAGGTTTGAAGAGGGGGCAAGGACTAGAAGGGAAGAGATGAGGGTTGCATGCAGCTGGAGACAGGGAGGTCAGCGGTCAGGGACACACGTTCACCTCAGATTTGTTACTAAACTGGGAGTGAGGGGATAGGACTTCAACAAGTTCATATTTGGTGAACAGATTAAGAGGCCAGCTGATTTGTCCAAGGTTATTTGTGTGATTGAGCAGGGAACTTTGAATGGATCTTCCATTTTCCATGGGATGCTGTGATGGTGTTATCACATTGGCTTCTGTGGAACCCAGTCCCATTAAAAATGGCAACAAAGGTATGAATTGTTTCTAGGGTCCCAAAGAAAAAGAGTTGAATGTTCCTTAGTGGACCCAGAGGCAGATGGTAAAATGGGTGCTTACTGAGCGTTAAGAACTGTGACGGTAACATCCCCATTTTGCAGATAAGGAAACTGAACTCCAGGAAAGGAAGTGACGGATCCGCAATAGCTCATCTGATTAGCAGTAGGGTTAGTATTGGAGCTCAGATCTGCCAGACTCCAAAGCCCATGGGTTTTTCCTGCTGTACCATGTTCCTTTACAGTTCTGAGCAAGAGCCCTAGACTGGCCCTGATCAGTCAAAAAGAAGCAGGAACTCTTAGCAGGGCTGTGGAGCTGATCAGATCCCTTTGGGCCCATGGGGCACTTAATTGCGCTAGATACCCGGCTTCTACCCCAGGCATCCCAGCCTGGCAGATACG